TTTCCCGTTCGAACTCGCCCACCTCGCCGCCGCCGCCGCCGCCGCCCCGCCCTCAACAACGCCTCCTGCTCTGCCGGCGCTCGCTTGCTCTCCGTTGGCCTTGGCCGTGGCTCCGACCTCGTCCACATCCCGAAACCTCCCGAGCGATAGCTTGTGCTGACCGGTGAGCTTGAGGGAAGCGGTGAGGAGGTCAAGCGGCGGCGCAGGCCTACCCGGGCCGGTGGCCGTAGCTGGGCAGTATCTCTCCGAAAAGTAGAAATCGTTGCGGGGTGTTGAACTCGTCTCGTCCATCCGGGAACTCGCTCTTCAAAACGCATCACAAGGGGCGGCGCGCGAAAAAGACGACAATGGAGCACAAGAACGATGTACAGGAACAAATAAGGTCTTTGTGTTTTTCGCCTCTTGAACCTCCCCCCTACACTGCAAGAGGCGTGACAATCTAGTAAAATGCCCCGCCACAACAACGCAGATACGACGAGAGGCTGAGAGGGAGGGGAAACGGGTTGCGCGACGACTCAAAACACGAGTAGCCCGAGGAACGGTGGATACGATACCCAGCGCCAAATTTGGCGCCAAGTCGAGCTCCCCAAATCCACAACTACACCGTACCCGCCGCTGACTTCTGCCGCTGCCATGGGGCGGGGTATCGTCAATAACGATGGCGGGACCGGAAGGCGCAAGGAAACCGAAAAAAACAGAGTACAACAACCCGCCAAACTTGCGGCCTGTTCGGTCTTTGCAGAACAACGACCCGTGCTTTTCACACCACATGTGGCGGACGTCGTCCCCTCTCTCACGAAAGGACACGCACGGCACCCACCCGCGAAACACGCTTACGTACGACGGGAGGAACAAGCGACAACGCCGGGGCGGACATGCTCACCTCGGGACAGCCGCCGTGCCGCCAGCAGGCTTCGGGAAGAGGTACCCGGCGGACGCGCTCGCGCACGGCCCAGCAGAGTAGGGGGGCCTGAGTTTCCCGTCGTTGTTGAACAGGATCTCGCGGTACGAGAGGCGGCCGTTCGCCTTCTGCAGCCCGCCGCCGGCGCCCCTCGACAGGAGCCCCCCCCCGCCAGCGCCGGAAGCTCTGGCCCCGCCGCCGCCGCCCCCGCCGCCGCTGCTGCCGCCGCCGCCGCCCGCCGCGGCCTGGTCCCTCTCCCCCTTGGCCTGCTTCGTCTCGGCGTCGTACTCGTCCGGGTAGCTGCAGTGGTTCGCCGGGCTCCAGGTGTTCATCTTGCAGTACCTTCGGAACGCACCGAGGGGCAGACCGAGGGGCAGAGGAGTGTTGGCGTGGATGAGGTCTAGGGCGGGAGGGTGGCACGAAAAGGCTTGACTGTCGCCGAGCGCGAACGCGGTCCAAACGGTCAAGCACGGAGAAAAAGATCGGGGCTTGTACCGTCACTATATGGACGCGTGCATACCAACAACAACCGTTGAGGCTGCCGTAAAAAAATCCGTGGGGATGGATGCCTCTCCAGCAAGAGGGCAAACCGGCACCGTAAAGCGTCCGAACATCGGAAATACCAGAACCAGGAAAATGTCATCAACACTGTCCCGCAAGGTTGAACGCACAACATATGGTTCCCGAGTCATAAATATATGCGAACGATAAACAAGGCGGCGGCGGCGGCGGGGCTGCGCCTGATCAAACACGGTGTCTCAGACTCAACACGTACCACGAACAGCCACATGGTACCACGACGAAAGCAAGCACCATTGCCGTCAGCACCGCTGTGCGAGTGCTCGGTAGCGGCAGCCTTGCCGTGTATTATCCCTTGTCTACTCTAAAGGGACCCCTCTACTGCTGTCGTTCGATGCTGTTGATGTGGGCGACGGGGAACTACAGATGGCACCACTATATTCTCGGCATTAAAAAGTTTCGACCCGCGACGACACTCAGGAGGGGACTGTTGAAACATCCTCGCTATTATAACAAAAATGGAGGCGTGGTGCGTGCAGGCAGGTGTATGGGTTGATTCGCAGAAAAGATGGAAGGAAGGGTACTGTGCGATCCCTTCAGTAGACGAGAGCCGGGGGCACCATGACCACGAGCGCGACAGAGAATACCAGAACGGTACCTCAAGACAAAAAAACACAAATCAACGTCGGCAGCGATGGGATCGCCGATTGCTGGCACAACGCTGATCACTGCGTTAGGAATACATCTACTGTTGCTCTTTCGGCAACCTGCTACTAACACCCACGACAAGTGTCTCTCTACCTCTGGACCTCTTGCCCACGCCATATTGGCATTCAGCAAACGTCGTACAAGGGAGCCTCAATCCTCCGGAGAATCCGTCCGAGAAGGTCACAGGCGGATCAAACAGGAAAAAGGGTTCCCTCTTGCAATGATTGCTGCACACCAAAACTAACGTCACTCGCACAAGTCTTGAGGTCTCGTCTCGCAGCTTCAAGCAAACAAGTGGAGTTCCGGAGTAAAGACCACCAACCAACAACGGGTCTGTGCCGTTCAATTTACGCCAAAACACGCATGGACAGAAGAACCCCAAGGCGCTTTGGGTTCGCTTCGCGACGCGGTAGTCTACGCAGCAAAATTGATTAAGCAAGCGTATGGGATGAAGTATTCAATCCGTGCGTTGGGGTTAGGGATAGGGATAGTGATAGGGTCTGCGTGCGCCCCCTCCCTGTTATTTTTCATGTACAGTAGATACTTTCATGTACAGTAGATACTCTGAAAATCCTGCGTAGGCGGTCCACGAGCAAAACACTCGACAACCGTCGCGTCCAGTGGCAGCACGCTCGTCGTCTCTCACATGGCGACGAGGTCTGTCTTTCTGCACTCACCACTTGTCGGGCAGGTTCTCCAGCCGCATGCCGAGCGCCAGCTTTCTCCACCGCAGGCACCGGTCGCACTGCACCCACAACACGTCGTCTTTCTTCGACCTGCCCCGACCCCTCCCGCCGCCACGAGACCCGGCGTCCGACTCGTGTCGCTCCAGCCCGCTCCCCGAGCCCGGATCCCTCCTCCAGGCCCTCTCGTCCGACGCGTCGACCGACTCCGACGCAGCGCGAGCTCGGGAGCCGATTCGGCGGCCTCTAACACTGGCACCGCCGCCTCTGCTCCCGGCCCCGCCTCTCACGACGAAGGACCTGCCGCCCGCGGTGCCGTTGGTCGCCGGGGTTGGGATCGAGGTGCTGTCCTCGGGCTGCTCGCAGCTTGCAGATGGGTTCCAGGTGCCCATGTGGCAGTACCTGATACGCGGGGAAATTGCCAGAGAGAGAGAAGAACACACATACGCGCGCGCGCCTCTGAGGTGTGTGTGCCGTCATGCATCTCACGTGGATGACAACCCGTCTGTTGTGTAAAGGAAAGCCCACTCGATTCGGTATAGCTCCCCTGGCGCCCGCGTTGATGCTCGCTGCGAAGCCGCACTGCCTTCGACATCGGAAGGTCAAACCACAGCCACTACTCCCCCTTCCCGACCAACTATTGGGCACGTTTTTTGGGAACAACAAGCAGCGCAGCGCAGCGCAGCGCAGCGCAGCGCATGGCCTCCAATCTGCCAACACTACTGCGACGACATCAACCTAACCCCCAACAACAGCCCGTTCCTAGTTTGGAAAACAACCAAACATGGCCAACAACAACACTAAAAACAGGCGGTGTGTTATCTAGCAAAAACGCACACTCGCGGCCGGCAAGAGCATCCCCCCCCACTCACCACTTGTCGATACCCTGCACGCTCACACCAGGAGGGACGCGCCTCCACTTCCCGCAGTGGGCGTAGTCGCACATCACCCACTGGTCAGCCTTCGGAGGGGCTTCGAAAACCGCTCCGCCACCACCATCGGAGCGAGCCGCCGCATGCATGCCCGACGCCGCCGCCGCCGCCGCCGCCGCTGCTGCCCCGCCTCGCCCTCCCGACCTAACCTTCGGTGGCGCGGGCGCGATCTCGCCCCGGCTAGACTCCGCGGCCCTGAGGAGCGAAGCAACGGCGTCCCTCCCCATGCTGCCCCCGCCGCCGCTGCTGCCCTTCCTCCCCCTTCCCCGGCACGACGACACCCCCACGCCGTTCGGTCTGGCTCGAGCTTCCGGCACTCCCTGGCTCCCCCCCGCCCCTGCGTCCCGCCCTCCCGCCAACCCGGCACCGTCGTCGTCGGAGCCGGAGCCCACGTGCGCGCCGCCGCCGCCGCCCTCCCGCCTCCTCTTGCGTCTGATCGGGGCAGCGGTGCCGGTGGTGGTCGGCCTGTCGTCGATCGTGGTCCCGGCCGCCGCCGCCCTCTGGTTTTCCGCGGTGAGGGCCGGAGGAAACTGCAGCACGGGCCGCGTCTGCGCCACCAACGCTGCCGCTGCTACTGCCGCCGCGTGCACCGGGGGAGGACGCAACGCCGCCGCCGGTTGCTGCTGTTGCTGCCGTGGTTCCGGGCCGTTGGCGGGGTGTGGGAACCTTTTCGATGGGCCGATGGCAGGAGCCTCGCGCTGAAGATGATGATGACCAGCCGGGTCGAAAGCGGCGAGCCGGGAAGCAGCCGGGGGAATGTTCGCCACGTCCATCGCTGCCGCTGTTGTCGCCACCGCCGCAACCATGGCCAGTCCCGCGTCCGCCTTCGCCGCAGCATTTGCTTCTACAGCTGCTGCTGCTGCTGCTGCTGCTGCTGCTGCCGCCGCCGCCCCTGCCCCTGGCGCTGCTAAGGTCGGGACGGGTGCCACCACCGCCGGCGCCGCTGCCGGCGCCGCTGCCGCTGCCGCTGCCGCTTTGGTTGACGCCGCTTCCGCCGCTGCCACCGCTGCCCCTACCGCTCCCCCTACGGTTGGCGCGGCCAGCAGCCCGCGCTCAGCACGAGATCGCTCGGGCTGAACCACCCCCCTAGCCCCCTTGACAGCAGCACCAGCAGCGACCTGGGGCGGTGGTTGTTTTGGAAGAAAACAATCCACCACCGGCTTTCCCCAGTTCTGCATGCGGCAGTGCCACACGTCCGGGAGGGCGTCGGCGCTCAGGGTGCTCGGCAGCGTCCACCACTCCTCGCAGTTATCGCACTGGACCCACTCCAAGTCGTCCGCGTCGTCCTCCTCTTCATCCTCCTCCTCCTCCTCCTCAGACTCCACCTCGTGGTGCTCTTTCGCGACGCTTCTTGACCCACCGCCTCGCCCTCCTCCTCCCCCCCGCCCCCGCCGCCCCCCCCCCCTCCCTCTGCCGCCCCCGGAATCGTGCCCCCGCCCACGGCCTGCCCGCCGGATCGGGGCACTCGCGGCGAGCCGCTTGGTCGCCAGCACCGCGGCCTGGCGCTCGTGCCTCTCGGGGCGCTGCCCGAGTCGATTTCGGTCGGGGTCCATGCTGGGCTCAAAGCGGGTGACGCCCGACCGCTTCCTGCCGACGTGCCGGGGCTCCTCACCACCGGTGCCGTCGCTGCCGTCCGCGCTTCCGCTGCGGGCGACCTTTGAAGCGGGGGCCTGGGTTTCCTCTTGAGACTCTTCTCCTTCCGAGTCGTCCTTGGTGCTGCTGCTCTGCTGCTGCTGCGGCTTCGCCTTAGCCGCAGGAGCCTCCTCCTCCTCGTTCTCTTTGCGCTCTTCTTCCTTCGGCTTGTGCACCACGGTCGATTTCCCGACCGTAGTTGGTCGCCGATCAGCAGCTTCCGCCGGGACAGACGCTTCCTGGTCGCGTGGCTCGGGCTCTGGCTGCTTCGTAGGAGATCTCGGCTGCTTCGTAGGAGATTTTGGTTCCTTCGTGGGAGATCTCGGCTCCTTCGTGGGAGATCTTGGCTCCTTCGTGGGAGATCTCGGCTGCTTGGTGGGAGACCTGGGCTGCTTGGTTGGAGGTTCCGGTTCTTGCTGCTTTGTGGGAAATTCGGGCTGTTGCTTCGTGGGAGATTCCGGCTGCTGCTTCGTGGGGGACGAGTCCAGCGGTTTCGCGGTAGATTCCGGCTGCTTCGAGGGAGAAGAGCAAAGCGGCTTCGCGGGGGAGTCCGGTTGCTGCTCCTTCGTGGGAGACTCACGTGCGCCGTCGGGATCTTTCGCGGCGGGAGCAGCAGCACCAACCGGCGGCGGTCGGGGACCGGTGTGAGTGCCATCTGCAGCAGCAGAAACAGCCGCCCACACCCTCTCCAACGCAGCGCCCGGCGCGGACTGCGCCGGCCGTCCCTCCTTTTTCCCGTTCTCGACCTGACGGTGCTCGCTGCCCTTGCTACCCCCCTCCCTCTCTAGGCCGATCGTCGTCGACGGGCGCCGTGCATCCGAGGAAGAAGAGACGGCGGTGCCATTCCGGCGCTTCTTGTTGCCATCCTCGCCCTTTTCACCGCCCCCGCTCCCGGGGTCCTGCCCTTGGTGGCCCCCGTCCGCCTCTACCTTCGCACCGCCGCTGCCCACCGCCGAGGAAGGCGGGTCGATCGTGGGTTCCGGCGAGTCGATGCCCTCGTCGGTCGTCTGCTGCTCCTCTGACAGACTCGACGCTCGATCGTCAGCCTCCAGAGCCGCGGGCGCACGCTCGTCCCGTTGCGTCGCCGGCTTTGGCTCCGAACGGGGCAGCCCAACAGCGCCCGATGCAACATCCTTCTTCGGGGGCGGAGACGCGGGACCGGCGCCTGCCGAGTTCGTATCTCGCACGCCTTTCTCCTCGTCGATGTCCATGCTTTCCGGGCCTGCCCGCGCCGAGCGCGAGGGCACGGGGGGAGGCCAACCGCTCTTCGCTTCGGCCCCCTGCTTTTCCTCGCTCCGTGGCCTCTTGCGGACAGGGCTACCCCCAACTCGTCCGCCTCTACCGGCACCGCTTCCGGAAGCGGTCTCGCCCATCTTGCTGCTGTTGGTGGCCTTGCAGCCGGTTTTCACGGGACCGGCCACAACCACCGCCGCCTCTTCCCGCTTCGGAGTGGCCGCACCACCGCCTCCCTCCTCCCCTCCCGAGTCTACGTCCATCGCATCCTGGGCCTTGGGGCAGGGGGGTGACGGGACAGCGCTCGGCGCCGGCGGGTCCGCCACGGGGGCACGACTCTCGGTAGGCTCCTCCCCCCTCGTGTTACCGCTCTCGTCCGCGGAGTCAACTTCCATCGCGCCGCTCGCCACGTCTCGGATACCGTTCGCCAGGAGACCCTCTTCCGCCTTGTCGTTGCTGACGGCGGCGAGCTCCTCGGCCGCAGGGGGGGGCTCGTCGACAGGCGACGCAGCGGCAGCGGTACCGGCGGGCTTGGAAGGGGAGGAGCCCCCCGACTTCACGGCGTCGGCGTCGCGTTGTTGGGCGGCTGGTGGGGGACCGGACGCCACCACCTCTGCCTTCGAAACCATAACCTTAGCCTTTGCGGTCACCTCGGTGGTCGGGGCCCTGCTGGTGCTCTCGGCGCCGGTCTTGCCTTCTTCCGCCGCCTCAAGGACGCCCTCGCCCTTCGGCTTGTTCGCGGAGGGCCGTCGGGGAACGCTTGCCTCAGCCGCTGCCGCCGAACCACCACCCGCTCTCGTGTCCTCCCGTCGTGTCCCGGCCCCGTCCGCCTTCCGGGCGTCTGGTTTGCTAGCCTCCGCCTCCCCCTTGTCCGAATCACGCGAAGCATCCTTTCCTGACACGACGGCAGCAGGGCCCGTACCGCTCTTCTTCGCGGAGCCCCCCCCTCGTTCCCCCGCACTCTTTCCTGACGGGCCTTCCAAGTCGTAGACGCCCTCAGAGCTCGACGCACTGGCGGGAGACGTCGACCTCCGCTGCGCGCACGCCACGGGACCGGCCTTGGCCTCCGCCACCTCGGGGGGACCGCTGCTGAACTCGTTCTCCTTGACCCCCCTACCCACCAAGCGAGGGGAGCAGGGCGTCTGCCGCAAAGAGGGGAGGAAAGTCGCGAGGGACGGGTTGTCAATGTTCACAGTACAGGAGAGGGTTCCGTAAGGGAGCCGAGACGAGCGACGGTGGAAGTTTGGCTTAGACCCGCCGCACCGTACCGCACCCGACATGGTCTCGAAAAACACTTGAACCTCGCTAGATTCGCCCACGTCTTGCAGCGGGCGTCATCAACGGCAGCGGTGGCACAGGGCGCTACCTGCAGACGGCAGTTTTGCTCTCGGCAAGTCTAGCTCTTCGTGCAAGAGGAATAGAAGTGAAAATTTCTTTTGGTTGGCACACCTCACGGTTAGGCAAATGCCTTCCATCGTGTTAATCGCAACCACACAGGAGGTGGCACCTACACCAGCGAACCATTTCCCCGGTTTTTTCCGCCAGCTGTACAGTAGCACTTCGGAAATCCTCAAATGACTGATGCTCAGGATCAAATCATGACCGCAACTTCTTCAACTGCAACCACGCCTGTATGGATCTACATATGACCGAAACGCTGTTTTAGGATGGAAGGTAGATGAGTTCTACCACTACCTGGGTCTACGCCAAGCTATGACGATGTTGTGTTCAGAAGTGGATCGTAGCCACGACCAAACATCCAAGCGTGTCCCGCGGTTTCGACTTTGCGTGTGCCGAGAACAATGGTGGCGTTCAAAACCCACCGTCACCACCACCACAACCACCTCGCGTCCATTTTTATGGCGAAACAGTAGTTGGGAGGCAATACTAGTGAGCACATCGCAATCCGTCTGAAACTCCACTGCAAACAAGGGACGTGTTCCACATGGTCAGTCGTCTTTGCAGCCGCCCCGAAACATCGGGCGACGTGCGGGAAGGCTTTCTTCGCCTCTTCGATTCCTCCTCCTCTTGCTCCTCGTAAACGTGAAAACATAGTTCTGGCTGCAGGCGTTCCTTCAAGCCTACCAACGGGGCATCACCGGACTGATCGTTTTCTCTTGAGCTCGTTCGCGAATAACCTTTGGATTTGCGAAGCGTTTACTACTGTGGGAGAGGACGGCCAAACACACAAATAACGGAAGGACCCCCAACCGTATCCGACGGCATCTATCGCGCACAACAGGTAGGTGTACGTGAGTACTGAGCCCTTGAAGGCATAAGTTCTTCCTCCGTCTGTCAATGGTAGTCGAGGCAGACTACACAATAGTTAACTCTATTCTAGGTCACGGCACGCGTTGCAAACAAGAGTATCAACCAATCCATTTCTATTTCACCGCAAACGCTTTGTCCATATGAAGAACTCGGCGAATGATACAGGTGATCCCAGTGGACACAAGACGAGCTGCGATCCTCACGCCAAACGCACGGTTTCAAAGAGCTGGGGCGGTCTTTCGCTCTCCACAAAAAGCTGCAGCAGCAAGCAGAATGCGCAAGATCTTAGCTCGAACAGAGAGGACGCACGAAGATAAGGATGGCTTGCTTGTTTGCTGCTTTTGGGTAACATACGTGTCAGGTTTACTTGGTGGCACTTTCCCCCTCATATCACAACGCCATGGACCCTACGTATGCGACTAGACGGGAGAGATGGCCATCGGGCCCAGACGTTTCATTTTCTTGTTGCGACATTTACCAAAAAACCTTGCTCTCACCTCCTTGCTTCGTGGGCTCTTGCGCGTGCTCGAAGACACATCTGTCGACAGCCCCGCCTTCCTCTCCGCTGACCCTTGCAAGACGGGCGCAGTCACCCCAGCCGCCGCCGCCGCCGCCGCCGCCGCCGCAGCAGCAGCAGCAGCCGTGCTCTCGCCCCGCTCCTTGCCCTCCGCTGGCCGGACATCGATAGCAGCAGGCTCGGCGCGCTTGGTCTGCTGCTTCGCCCTTCCTCCTGCCCCCCGCGCCTGCCCGCGGCCGCCGCCCCTTCCCCTCCCCCTCGACCCGCCCCCCCCCCCGTTGGAACTCCGTGCAGCGGCGGCGGTGGCGGGAGTCGGGAGGACTTCCACCGGCGGGGTCGCTTCTCGTCGGTCCGCGGGGGGCTTCGCTCCGTCCTTCCACCCGCTTGACGCGTTCCCTCCCCCACGCAGAACGGCCTCCGGCTTGACGACGGTGCTGGTGCGGGCGCCTTTGGCCGCGGCAGCGGTTGGTGGCTTGGCCTGCTTGCTTTTCTTTGGCTGCGGAACACGGGGAACGGCCGTGCATGCCGACGAGAAAAGGGGCAAGACAATTGAGTCGCGAGCGCGTTCATGCAAAAAAGGGCGAAATGAGCGTACACACGCGCGCAGAGCGACACCCGGAAGTGACCCGGGCGAAGGCGAGCAAGCCGTGCAAAAATAGCGGTCTATGCCTGCGAGGACATGTCCTTAGGTCTGCGACCAGGACTTGTCGTGGGGCAAACGGGGCACCCCAGCCAAATGTAATGTTCCCACTCCCACAAAGGTACACACACACGCTGACGCGTCTACCAGACCCACCACACTCATATACAAAAGCCACACAACTTTTTCCACCCCTTACCTCCTGCGTTCTATGTGGTCGGCGCCCCTCCTCCCCCTGAACGCCGCCGTTTCGCAGGGCGGCGGCGGCGGCTGCCTTGGCATCCCTTCCCTTCTCTTCCCTAACACCTTTGCTCCCGTCCTCCTTCTTGACCGCCGCCGTCGCCGCAACAGCTACGGCTGCGTCCCGCCCCTCCTCGGGCTTCCCCACCTCCCGCTCACCCTCGCCCTTCTGGCGAGCTTCGCCCCCTCCCCCGGACGTAGCCTTGGACGCTGGGCCGCCCTTCGCGCTCCCCGACGCTTTCTTCTGCCCGCCGCTCCGCCCCTCTACCGCCGCCGCCGCCGCGACCGGGCGCGCGTCCTCAGAGCCAGCGGACGAGCTCGAAGAAGAAGAGGAGCTCTCCGAGCCGGAACAGGCGGATGGGGATGATACGGGCGGAGCCGCGCGAGATGATCTCGCGGAGCCCCCCGTCCGCGGAGCCCCTGCTGCCGCCCTCCGCGGCGCTTCCTTCGAGCCGTCTTTGCCGCCGCCGAGCCTCTGCCCCTTGCGCTGCTTGGGTGGCGGGGAGGCGGCCGGCTTCCTCCGGGGGCTCGCGCGCGGGCTGCGGGCCTTTGCCTTGATGCCCAGGGACATGTCGTCCAGCTCCTCCTCTTCTTCCTCCTCCTCGGAAGCTGAACCGGATTCGCTCGTCTGTCCGCTCGGGGTGTTGGTACCTGTACCCGGGGAAAAGGGCGCGGTTTCGACGTCAAGGATAAGAAACAATGCTCCAACGCGTGGCTTGCTAAAGAGAGAGAGAGAGAGGACAAAGACTTCGAACACTACAGACGCGTTGCGCAAGAGGAAAAAGCCGAGCCGAGCCGAGTCACGCATGGTAAAGCGTAAGGCATGTGGAGGACTTGACATCGTTTCGAAAGCGCCGGGCCCGGGGTTCGCCACTGGTTCGACAAGTGGCGACTCTTCAAAAACATGATCTCGCTCGAAAATTGAGATGGATGTCGGGAGGTGCTATACAGTATTCTTCTAGAAAGTCAAGGCCACAACGCATACGACGACACACCCTACTTACATATTCGAAGTACGTCGTAGTTCCGTAAAAAATGGCCAAAAAATACGAGTGAACGTACAACGTACAGCTCGACGCTGCACACGGGCTGAACGCCATACATAGCCCGGGCCAGGTTCCGGGCGTACGGGCGAGTTTGTTTCGCAATACTCGGTCATCACAACAGGTGACCGCAAAAAAAGCAAGAGCGGCACGACTGAATTGACGTAGTTCGATTTCTACACCGGGATCGGTGTTTACTGCTGAACCAGATGCGGCAACCCCGACCAAAATCCTACGCTTCGGGCGTCCAAAGATGACGCGATACATAGCGCAAATGTCTCCGTGCCACTTTTTGAGTTGCGTCGGGGGAATATGCAGTTGGCACTTCACATGCGGCAAGGGTTACCATCGGGGTGGGACTTCTCAGATGTATTACACCGTCGCTGTGCACGTGGAATGAGTCAAGATGCTTCCAGTCGCGGTATCGAAGTACGTACCACTTCGGAATAATTGGCATAAACAAGACACATCCCGCGACCCACAAACGACCGAACACAGAAGGAAGCCATTTCGCTACCGTGCTCGCTGTTACAGACAAAACGACAAGGGGGGGGGCTTCAGCCAACTCGACGCCAACAGAAAAACTGATTACTCCCAGCACGAGGCCATACCATTGATAGTCTTTGGCACACGACATAACTCAAGACGCATTCGACCCCATCACAGGTCAACACTCGCTGCATGTGCTGGCACGCAAGCTGCTACATAAGCACCAATATCATCGCTACACCCATCAAGGTCATTGCATCGCAAGGTCGTTGCGTCGGGGTGCTTGTGTGCCGCACTGCAGGCCGGGATAGGGACGCTTCATTTCACTATCACACCTATCTGAGTTACCTCACCGGGGGTGTCCTGGGTTGGAACAGCTGTAGAACAAAATGATTCGTTGTATCTCCGCACCGGGATCGGGGGGTTCGCACCCATACGGGGTTGTCGCAACTAACACCAACAGACAATATTAGAACACGTCGCGCTCCGGTGCCCTGGACCCACACTCTGCCGTAGCTAGATAGCCACGCGGTCTTCTCATGTCGCAGCAAAGTACAGCCCGGTTTGCGCCCACCGTCAACGCAAATCGTAAAAAGCCTAGCACGTAGAGATTTACGGCCCGACAAAAACGCCTGCAGAGGGAAAACCCTCCGGCTCACATCTTCACGATAAAGGAGGCTCCGTCGGTTCACACTACTGGTCGCCCCGGTGGTCTAGTGGGTACCCTCGCAGCCTACTAAGGGTCAGGTCATGGGTGAGAGTCCCGGCAAAGTGAGTTCTTTTTCTCACTAAATAAATCCTGGTCTAAGTTGGAAGCGACGCGCTGCAATGCTCACCATCAAGGGCGCCTCGCCGGCGTTTCGGCGCGCTCCCGCCCCGCCCGTGGCGTCTTCCCGGTCGTTTTCGGGGGGCCGACCGCTGGGACGACTGGCGCCCCCTAGCTGCCGCCGCCGATAGCATCTTGCCGTTCCTCGGCTGCTGCTGCTGCTGCTGCTGCTGCTGTAACCGGCCGTTCTTCCTCGCCTCGCGCGCGTCCCTCGCGCCGCCGCCGCCGCCGCTATGGACCGATTCATCGTCTCCGTCTTCCCCTTCGTCCTCCTCCTCCTCCTCCTCCTCTTCAGACTCCTCTGAATCGTCCTCCTCCTCCTCCTCCTCTTCCGATGAAGACGACGAAGCCGCTGTTGCCGCCGCCTTCGGTGCCCCACGCCCGCTGCCTGCCCGCGCGGGCGCGCTCGAATGCTGCTGCTGCTCGCGCCTGCTGCTGTTGGCCATCTGCCGATGCTGGCGGCCCTGCGCCTGCTTGCTTCGCGGGGGGGCCCAGGGGAGACGCGCCTCGGTCTTCACCGCCACCTTGGGCGAGCTCCCGGTCGTCGTGCCCCCCGCGGCGTCAGATTTGGTGGCGTTGGCCTTGGCCTCCGCCTCTTCGTCCCGCATCTGAGCGAGGGTCCGCGGGCGGACGCGCTGCTCCAGCGGGCGCCAGGGGTAGATCACGATGTCACTGTCGGGGATGTCGGAGACCTCTTGCGTGCCGTCGTCGTAGTCGATGCGAATCATACCCCTGGAGCACAACGAAAAGCCGGGCCCCAAACGACACAAGTTGATAAATGTCTCGCAAATCGTGGTTAATTGTGAGCGACGCAAGGCTTCATGAACAAGGCGCGGGGCACACCAATACGATACCGGTACTGCTACATACCTGGCATGACGCCTACAGCCAGCCTTCAGCGCAGAGACAACTTGGTGACGAATGGGACCGACGGGGTTACTTTTAGGAAAACAGGCACGACCAAGAACAAAGACGCAACGAATGCCGAAAGTCTCCAGGATAACTTCACACAAAAGCCCTGAAACAATGTACTATTACAAGACCTGCGCGGGGTGAGATCGAACTCCAGCACCCACCCCGTATGGCCCTACCAGAAGCAGGCCATAGACATGGGGGGTCGATAGACCGAGCTGGCTGCCGACAGTTTGGCCGGCCACTTCTAACTCCGGCCTGTGGAGGGTACATACTCCCGAGCCACACCTGTCCGAAACAATCACGCACAAGACAAACGTCCAACGCATTGTAAGCTCTGCTCTCACCCTTTCTTGTCGACCTTGAGGATAGTCCCGCTGTACCAGTGGCCGGTGTCGAACTTGACCTTGATCTGTGACCCCACCTCTGCCCCGTGGGCCGCCGCGATAACGCTCTGCCTCGGCGGCGACACCGGCTCCGCCTCTCCCTGCTTGGGCTTCGTGGCGCCCCCCGACCCGTGACGTCGGTCCGGTACCGTCGCCCTGCCGCGGCTGCTGGTCATGGGGGTTTCATCATCGGAGTCCGATTCGTCCATTTCGTCGCTGTCCGCCTCTTCGGAGGAGTCGTCGCCTCCATCTCCCGAGCTGTCGACAGTAAGCATAAGAGAGCGACGGCAGCAGAGTGTGAACACATGATATTTGCGATGTACGGTATCCTGTGGTGGTAGTCGTACATCGTCCGAGCGAAGCAGCGTTCGCGAGCTCCGACTGCTGTTGTCCCCTCTCGTTTGCGGACACCGCACGCCTGCGTGATGTGGTTTCCCCGTGCGCACCGTTTCCTTCCTCCAAGCAGCCCCTTGTGGCGAGAGCGGCAACCGCCATGGCGATCTGTCCTTGAAGCCGAGCTCGGGACAACAGCTGGCCAAGAAGGAGAGTCCGGACGTGAGCTCGCCGGGCTGGAGGGAAAAACTCGCCCTCTTCAACAAGGCCGGCGGTAGGAAGGATGGTAGAGCAGCAGCACGTGTATTTTCTTCGCCTTCTCATGTCCTCTTCCCATGAAAGTATCGCATCCGTCATATCCCCCCATCATAATCTCAAGTGCCAATATCCAACCTCCTATATTGATATTGCAATCCGCCAGTTTTGCTCTCTAGCCCATAGGATATACTCCCGCAACCACTCGTCATAACCCTCCTCCCAGGCGTCGTAAACGCTACTCCTGCTCTTCTTTCTTGATTGACCAGTCCAAGCGGTCAGCCGTTCGCGTTCGTTCATTGCGGCAAGACGCCCCATGTCTTTGCCGCGACGTACGTCTCGCGGCAATGGATGAACGTCAACCGCTCCACCACTCGGACTGGTCCATCGAGCACGGGAAAAAAAAGCCGAGGTACGACGCCTGGCGGGAAGATTTTCACGAATGGTTGCGGGAGCATATCCAATGGGCTAGAGAGCAAAACTAGCGAAGGGGATTGCAACGTGTACAGGTTTCCGATCTTGGCGCTTAAGACTGCGATCGGGGGTAATACCGGATGCGATACTTTCGGGGGAAGAGAACATAACCAGGCGAGGAAAACGCCCGCCCACCCACGCCCCCGTGCTGCTGCTCTACCGTCCTTTTTACCGCCGGCCGTGTTCAAGAAGACGAGTTTTTTGCTCCAAACAGGGGAGCTCTCGCCGCCGGGCTCTCCGTCTTGGTCATACTCGAGCTCGCCTTCAAGGACAGATCGCCGTGGCGCTCTCGCCACAGAAGGGGAAGGAAAGGGAGAACCGGCGCACGGGAAGCCACAACACACAGGCGTGCCGTGGCAGTAACAGCAGGCGGTTCGGAGCTCGCGAACGCTACTTCGTTGATGTGCTCGCACGACGACACGACATGATAAGACAACCACCACAACACCTCACGTGCCTGCTAGCCCGACCTGACAGCACTGCTGTTCTTAACATTTGGTGCGAGCGACAACACCCGATTCAAAATCTTTACCGAACAATAATGCATACAAGAACCTCATGCCTCCTACTGCTGTACCGACGACCTGCGTCTCGAAGAGTTTACTACGTCATCGGCAGCCTTGTGGTACAGCAGTTGTGTCATGACATGTATCTGCACGTAGAATATGTGATTTTGGTTTTGGAAAACGTAAGCAGCTCGTGCAGGAATACCTAGATTTATTCAATCAAGGCGGGTCCCGGCGCATTGATTTGCCTAAAAACGTGTGCCGCTACCCTTTATTCGCCTCTCAGATTGACATCCCGTCGCCCGATTACAGACTTCAAATATTGAAAAAGCTGATCAGATTCTCGACCAACATCCCTTCCACGACTCAGGCTGGCAAATGCAACTATAATGGACCCGCAAAGAATGGTTCGCTGATCTGCGCTGGCGGAAAAATCAAGGCAGAGACAAGCTCGAAGGGAATCGCTGGGCCTGAAGCCCAAAGAGCGAAAAATCTGCAGGAACGTTAAACGTGCCCCGGTTGCTGGAGTAACACACACCCACACGCCGGTTAGCGCGGTCGATGCTAATAAAAAAGACACACACAAACACACACACACACACACACAGCAGCCCCCCTCGGTTAAGAGAGGAACACCACATGCTCCATCGCTACAAGTTCCTACCGAAAACAACATCACATGCTACCAAACGCCACCAGCGGCGAAATCCACGCAACCGTGACGCCGACGACGGCCATTTGTCACAAAAGACCAACCCCTTCGGCAATAGTTACCCCGTGCCAACAAAGCGCCTTGAGGCCCCTTTTACATACCTTCGTCCGCGGCGTCCGGCTCGGCCCCTGGAGCTACTCCCGCTCCCGGTGCGATTCCGGTCGGAGCTCACGCCGAACCTGTCCCCTCCGACATCGTCCCCACAACGCCTGCCGAAGAGATGGGACGACGGGGTGGAAAAGAAACGGCATATGTCCGCAGTTACGGTCTTGACTGCCGCGGTGGCGGGTTGGGAAACGACAGATTCACCGGCTGCTGTATGATTGATTCCTGGCAAGCCACAATTCTGTGCTTCGGGCGGCCAGTCTACACAACGGCCCTGCCCTGCTTGTGGTGGCTGCTTGTGGTGGCCATCGCGTAAGGTGTACGGTCTGTTGGGATTGGGCAGACAAGAGGGACGCGCGCGTGCGACTATCAAGCAACGACACGTGTGGTGTCTGGGGCGGCTTGTTTTCTTCGTTTTTTTTCAGCGCAAGAGAAAACGACTTAAAAAATAACAGAACCGCACATTGAACTTGTCGCGCGTCGGCTTCAGCAATAACCAAGACCCGAGCATATATCATACCACAAAATCCTATTCGTACGGCGGTGCCGGGGCCTCCTCGCAAAGCGTGACCGGATGCACGTTCCGGAAGCCGAAGGATGGCCATTCGTCTCCATGGAGCCGGGTGGAACACCCCCAACGCCTGTGCGGCTACTTTTCCACGTGGTGTGTATGCATATGCGTCCTCGCTTCAAAAACTGGCTACCCCAGCGGGAGGAAACAGCCGTTTTCGGCGTTATGAACGCGCATTCCGACATCCCTTGGGTGCGTCGAGCTCAGAACCACGCAGAAAAGCTCACTTCCCCTCTCACGGAACAGAGTGGGCGAGGCGGATCTAGATGGTGCCTGCCCTGTGGGCATGCGAGGAGCCGGAGCTCGAATCGTCGCGGAAAAGGAAACATATCCCTCACTTTGGATGATGATGCGCGTTGCCAAAAAAAGAGCAGAAGTGCAGGACCGAAAACAAAGAGCAAAAAGCCCCTTCGTACTTTCAAATCAATCCGCCACTGGCAACGCGCGGTGAGCTGATCGAAGACAAACCGGCCTCCACTACGATCCTAGCGCAGGTCTCCCCTTGAATCCCGTCGACGTACGGCGAGCACGGCCCTGGCCCCCAAACTTAATCCTTTCCCCAAAACGCGCACCTGTGTCTATCCGCCGGGCCACCTGCAGAATTGCCCCCACGCCCTCTGTGCGATGTCGAAGGAGGAGGCTTCTCAACATTCAAAGATGCCTTGAGCGCCCTCCGGAGCGAGGTCATTTCATCCGCCTACCCGCCGCCGCCGTCGCACGCGCACACACCCTCCCGACGAAGACAGATAGACGAGGCAGCCAGGCGCTGATCCGAGCCAGGCGCAAAAAAGAGGAGGAGCGCACGACACACCACCCACACGGACACACGCCGAGGAGAAGAATCAGGCGTGATTTTCTGGCTTTGTGAAACAGCGCGTTCCCGGATGATGTCGCTTGTTCGTTCCCACGCGAAAACGCCACGCCCCCGCGCCCGGCGCGAAACAGTAAGGGAGGGGGGTATCTCACGCGTGCACACACAGCCCCTCTCCCTTCCGAAAAGGGAGGCGCTTGTTGTATTCGTTTTGTGATGACAACGCAGACACAGACGAGATAGCGAGCTCGGCTCGGAGCCCGGGCGGCACCGCGGGCGACAATTTTCGTGGTGTGTGTGCACGTTTCAGACTCTGGAACCTTCCGCCAGCCCCCCCCGTCTCATGTACACACGACACGTCGCTGCTGCACTCGTGCGTGAAAGGAGCTGCAATCAAGGTGAGGTGTGAAAGTTGCGCAACGTTAGTGACAAGCCGCTTGGTGTAGTAAAGTGACGTGAGCTTGGGGCTTGTAGGGGATGATGGTTACTGGGGTGCAAATACAATGTGTAATGTCAAACATACCCTCCACGCCTCTCTCCCCACACGCACGCATACACGCATACATGCAACCACCTTGCTCGTGGATCCAGCAGAGGATCGCACCAGTGTCCGGGAAGCCATCGAAGTTACTAGCATGATGGTTAGCGGAAGGGCAGTCGCCACGGCTTTATGTGCTCTGGGCACCACCTCCGCGTTCACAGCCCCCCTGGCAGGCTTCCGAGCGGTGAGCGAAGTGTGCGAGATGACAGGTTCAACACACGGTTGCCAACCAACTACATTTGTAGGCTACAGCAGTATGCATACAAAACAGCAGCAGCAGCAGCAGCAGCAGCAGCAGCAGCAGCAGCAGCAGGAGCAGGAGTGCTCTGGTGTATCGTCGTACGGCCGCGTTTGCGTGTCTTTAACTCTCAAGGTAGCCTGACCTTTGCGTGGACTGTTTTCTTGAGCATGCTAGTCGTTTGTTTTGGCACGAGCTTTACACGTTGTGTGTTGGCCTGGTCGTTGATGTCGCTCGCTCGGTGCGCGTCGTGTGTGCGTGTCTCTCGATGTTCCTGGTGCTGGTACAGGCTAAGGGCGTGTCGAGGCAGGTCACCCGGAATGTCGGGAGAAACTTGCAGATGGCCACCGTGGTGAGTTCCCGTGGAACCAGACTACGGTCTTCCAGTCGGTGTTGGTGGCGAAATGAACTGCCGTGGAGGTTTTAACAGCAGTCATGACACAGCAGGCAGCGGTGAAGATCAGGTGTCCGCACACGGCTGACAAACTGTTCCTGCTGGCTTGCACGTCCATGTTATCAAGAGACACGTGCGATGTGTCCCTTTGTTATTTCTTAGGAGAGAAAGTTTGTGCTGATGTCACATGGCGAAACCGGAGATTTCTCCCAAGGGGGGGTTGTTGTTGACCTGGCAGAATCGTGCAAGCAAGGCTCTCGTATGTACACACATGCATTCCGTCTCCGCCGGCGCCACCTCTTCGATAAGGTGTCGCACACTCACACCCCGGAAATCCCTTCTCGAGTGGGTAGTCTTCCCCTAGAGCCATGAGTGTGCCCTGTGTAGAACCGGCCTCTCATCATCGCGGCTTCAGTACCCAAGAGGTGCTGTTTTACAGCAGACAAGTGCGCCCCGGCAGCACCTACGAGCTCTGTTGTTCCAATTTCCCGTACCCAACAACGAACGGTGCAATGCTTTCCGAAGTCAGTCGGGGTCAGGGCTTTCGTGGTGGCTTGCCTCGAACAGGTCGTATAGATGCGACGAGCGAGGTGTGGGTGATGTCGCACGCATTGTCCCTGTGAGTGGGCCTCTCAACCCTGAAACACTCCCCATGCATGTTTGTGTCGTCGTGCCTTACCGCAATAGTCGGAGAGATAGCACCGGGTTGTTGTTGTTGTCTTCACATGGAACCGTTCTGATCTCTCTACCGGTACATATCTTCATATGTCCGTTCTAGTCTAGCACTTGACGCGGTCGATTCCCGTTGTAAATGTTATCCCGGTGCTTGCATTTTGTACCAGAGAGTTGTCTTCTTGTCTCGGATCGTTGTGGCCCTCCAGCTCTGGACTCTTTCCTTTCCTTTCCTTTCCTTTCCTCTCTCTGGTGCATACCCTCACAGCTCGCGGTGTCTCTGCCACCCTCACCGTGTGCGATCGTTATTTTCTACGCCATTAAGTTTTTTCTCCGTGCTCTTTGTCGCACCCCGGTGCGGAAATGCAAACCAATCACTTAATTTAGTTGTTTCCAAGGCACCCGGTGCGATCTCTCCGACCGGTGCGATGCCCAGTGGAATGGACACACACGGGCCTACTCGTGCTCGGCAGTGTTGTATGCACGCACCCGGGTGCCATCTCCCCGACCGGTGACATCTCTCCACCTCTGAGTATATTGGTACCGGTACAGGTACCAACAAGCAGACGTAGGCTGGTAGCACATGGCAGCTTTCCATGCAGCGAATGGTCATGAGTTTGAATGCGAGTTGGACTGTGGCGTGACAAGGACAACAAACGATGTTTTGCATCTGGGGTACCGTTACATACGGTATGAGGTTGTCTCCCGCTTTCGTTTCGGTCTTCCTCTACGAATACCAGTTGTCAAAAGCAGCAGAACTTAAGATTTCCTTTCGAAAGGCGCGGTATGTTGTGTGCTTGGCGCACAGTTTGCAATTCCATACTGATCACATGAAAACAACAGACGATCCCGCGCGAACCGCGCCGACCGTACACACGTACATGAAGGAGTGATGCTCCGCTGATACCGCCGCCACATGTAAAACGTACCCGCATGTACCTCTTTACGGAACAATCTTGGATTTGAGGGTCGGTGAGATCCCGCCCCGTGTGATCTCACTCGACCCTGGTGCGTTAATACAACAAACTCATGCCAGTTTTTTTTGTTCTCACCTTGTACCAGCTTTCCGACCGGTGCCATCTCTCCAACTCTTACGGTAACCCACAGAGACAGGTTCGGTCACCATGTTTGAAACGGCGCATGTACAGAAATAAGTGCGAGAGTCACAGATCACAACGATGTGTTCGTGCGTGTTTTCTCCTGTAACCCGCTTTTCTTTCATGTTGTGCGTGCCGCACAGGCCGAGACATACGACATCAAGGTGAAGGGCGAGGAGAACACGATGGACTACCGCGCGTTCTTCCACCAGGCGAGTATCCCGCACAAGTGTAGATGCCACGGTACTACGATGGTACCCTGGTCACACATTTGTGGACATGTGTTCCCCTTCGTGAAAGTACTTCTTCCGGGTGGCCCGGAGCATGCTACAACTTGGTGGGACTCTTGATAATGCTTGGGACATGCAGATAGAGCACCTGACACGCGCGTGCGGTGACGGTGAGGGACGGAGACTCTCCATCGCGTGACCGACCGTCCCCGCAAGCAGTGGGCGGGCGTTCGACCGTCGCGTTCGGCACACACACGTAGACGCGGTGGTGGAGGAGGAGGCTTACATTTGCCGTTTCCCTTGTCACCCAACCCGCGGAAATTTTGATCGAGAAGATTTTTTTTCACAAGCGACGACGGCCAATGTTTTCAAGCCTACGTAGAGCAGTGCCCCACCATCGCGGACTGCTGTCTTTGTGAGATTTAGGATTGACGCCCCTGCCCGTCGGTGTCACTGCTCGCAAGCGACTGACTTTCTGGCGTTACGGGCGTCCTTTCTTTTTTGTTGCCTCCCTCCGTGCTACCCCCCACCTCCGCGCAGGGCGGGAAGGAGATCTCCCCCTGGCACGACATCCCGCTCAAGGCCGGCGCGGACACTTTCAACTACATTTGCGAGATCCCCAAGTAGTGAGTCCGAAAACGCATCGTTTGCTGCTGTCGTGGAAGAGTGTAGCACGTTCGCTGCTGGTTGTTCTCGCGTAGTTCAGGAAGACTCAGTTTGCTTGCGTTGTGTACGATCTGCGTGCGTGCTTTTGCAGGTTTCGCTGGGGTTGGGGTTGGGGTTGGTTCTGGTTAACCAGGTCGAGGGAATGGGCTCGCGTGGTATCATTCATGTCTAGCTTGTGCCCGCACGCCAATGTGTTGACCGCATCGTGTTTGCTTCGCCGTCTACGTGACTTGCTGTGTACCTAGCTCCTTGGCGAAGATGGAGATCGCCACCAAGGAGCCGAACAACCCCATCGCCCAGGTAGGTGCAGCACGGCGTGTGGCATGTGGCTTGGTATGGTGCACAGGAGTAAGCCACGCAAGAATAGCATTGCGTGTCAAGACCACAGCAGTGCGCTGCCGTGTGGTGGAAGCTCGCCTCCGGCGAAACAGAGACCCATCGCAGCGTCGCTGCAAAGGCTCGATGGCGGCAGCACACCGCCATTCTCGCCATCTCGCGTCATCCACGAGGCTTGGCGTTGGAATAGAGCGGAGGCCTTCGTTTCGTGTTGATTTTTCACGGCGGTGTTCTTGCCGCTTGGCTAACTTCCGGCCGGCCCTAGTGCCGTCATACGACACGCGCACGGCCTTTTTCGCCCCCCCGTCCCCTTTTTTCCAGGACACTAAGAAGGGCAAGCTGAGGTTTTACCACGGCCCAATTTTCTGGAACTACGGGTACATCCCCCAAACATGGGAGGACCCCACGGTGAAGCACCCTGAGGTGAGTTAGTGGTCACACCTCGGCCGGTGCAACTCAGCTTTGAAAGCGAAAGGAAGGGCGCAATGGGAAGCACTGAATCCTTCGCTAGGCAAGGACCAGTGTCGAAAGGCATTCGCTGAGTTTCTTGGGTCATGCATGCGATCAACAGCGAGTTGTTTTTTGAGCCCGGGCAACCGCGGTTGGTATTCGAATGGGATTATTATTGGTTACTTGCAGCCAGCACCGCACGGTCACCATGAAGGCAGAGGTCCCGGTGTAGCATGCCTAACAGGCGCTCTCGATGAGCGTTGCCTTGCGAGGCACTTTGCTCAATCTTGAGCACCGATTTCACGGCTCATTCAAGGTGCTTGCTTCCATTCAAACACCCGACCCCTCGCCTCCCCCCCCCCTTGTCGTATGATTCGGTTCGAAACCTTCGTCGGCGCTGGCCTTCGTGTGTCGCTTCTTCGCCCCCCCCTCCTTAACAAACGGACAACTTTCAGCTCGGTGTTCTCGGGGACGGTGACCCGGTGGATGTCGTGGAGATCGGGTCCGCGAAGCTTGCCTCTGGGTGGGTGATCTGAACAATCCCGCCGAGTTGCTGTTGGGCCCCCTTTTTTTTTTTGAACCAAAATACGTGTTTTGTGTTTTGTACTTGCCCCGTCACGTTGAGTTTGGGGCCTCTGTTTTTTTCCGGACCAAAAGAATGCTCTCTGCGCATGTGTGTGGGATGCCAGACTCCCGGAGATTCAATACCCAAACGTAGGCCGTCTCTGACAACGGGTCAGGCGTGGGACAAGCCTAAAGGAAATGGTCTGCGTGGGGCTTTGTTTCGTCTTTACTCCTTTTGCGAAACGGCGCCGACTTGCTGTGAGACTTGTGCCACCCCAGCCTCCTGGGTGAAGATCCGAGGGTGTTGATGAAGCCACGCATGAAGCTCGGCTTGCCACATATTGTTGGACTTGCTATAATAGTCGAGGTACGTTTGGCGGCTGTTCATCCGACACTGGAGAAAGCGCCCCCTTCCCGGTGTGTTCCCTGCTGATGTCGTGTTTCGCTGGGTATGCAGGACTGTTAAGGCCATCAAGCCTCTGGGATGCTTGGCGATGATCGACGACGGCGAGCTCGACTGGAAGGTGTGCTATATTTTGCAGGCTGTTCTTTGTCGTCAAAGTACGCGCTTGTCCTTGATTTTTGGTGAAAACAAAACACAACATCCGCGCCACGTGAACTCTGCTGTATCTTCGCGCACATTCTCCTTGTGTTGTGTCGCCTTTTCAATTCTTAATTGGTAGATTTCGTCTGACCCCGGTACACCACTTCGATGACGTTCCGAGCTGCTTGCAAAAAGAAAAAAACAGCAGTGTGATTCGTCTTGGCGCAGACACCCCGAGCACACGACTGGACCTCCTTTCGTGCGGCTGCGCATCCGCTACCGCTGATGTCCAGATTGCATTTCGCTTGTTTCGAGTGGAGTACCTTGACCGACGGTGTGGTTGCCCCGCGACTTCCCTGCATGAATGCACCCACGCCTCCTGTGCCGTGTGATGTCAGGTGATTGGTATCGACGTAGACGACCCGTTGGCCAAGGACCTGAACGACATCGCCGACGTCGAGAAGCTCCTCCCCGGGTACGTATCCGGAATCCGGGAGTGGTTCCGCTGGTACAAGACCCCCGACGACAAGCCCCTCAACGCCTTCGGCTTCGACGAGAAGGCTTTGAACAAGGTGCGCGTATGCCTGCGGGGCCAATTTAAGCAACGCGCTTTGGGTTGGACGGAGAGAAGAAGATTGTCGGGCTGGTTGGCGTGGAGGGCGTGTGGGTGCCGGGTTGTGCTGGGGTCTTGACTGGCACGGCAAGAGCTGGGGTATCGTCGAGTATGCGATGTTTTTGTACGACCAAACCGGGGATTGTGAGAGGAAACTACTGCATTCCAGAACTCATGGTTACTTGAGCGAAGCACATGCTAGTTTCCGGAGCTACACTGATCGCCCGCCCGGCGCCGAAATGAAGGTTTTGTATCCACGAGATTGGACAGAAAGGGCATCACCACCACCTTATGCAACATCCTGGTAAACCCCTCCGGCTCCAGCTTGGTATGTGAGCACAACAGCAAGACAACGGCTACTCTGTTTGCCCAAATGCGCCTTATCTCCCCGGTCATCTCAAACGGTGCAACTCGCATGCATGCATGGTCTTGTTTCCTTGTGGGCGGCAGGAGGAGACGATGAAGGTGATCGACGAGTGCAACGGGCACTGGAAGGCGCTTGTCGACGGAAAGACCGAGGCTGGCAAGATGTGGATCAAGTAGAGGAGGGGCGGAACGCTTGCGAGTTGAAACAGTTTTGGGGTTTGTTTGAAAGGAGGCAGCCGGAGATCGCTGCGCCAACCCTGCTGGTCTTCTTGTTGTGTTTCTTGAACAGAAGTTCACTTGTGGTGGTTTGCAGCAAAGAAGAGAGCGTAAATAGGTAAATATAGTTTTCCTAGATGTGGTTTAGGACATCCACCGATTAACGTGATGGCCGTTAGCTGAGAAGCCTTGACAAATCGTCGTGTGTACTCATGTTCATGTTTCGTGTGACTACATCGGAGCTCTTCATCAGTGTTTCGGATTGGCACGGGGACCGTAAATAAATGTTGACTGCGGAGAAGGCTACATACATTGAACGAACAGAGGTCCCGAAGTTTTTGTAGCAGCACAGAAGAGGAAGCGCCCAAGCCACTTGTCTGCCTTGCGTTCACTATGAACGCAGTCGTAGTGCTTCGGAACACCGAAAACACTACGAGTTGGTTCGCTTTCCAACGCGCGTGGACCCCTCCCCCCCTGTCCGCCCCGACTAGAGGACCCCCCCGGCAAGACCAAGCGCACCAAACAAAGAGACGTGCGTGACAGTGAAAGTCAGAAGTAGCACTCGACCACAGCGTGCACTCGACCATGGTCTCCGACCTTCCGCCATACGCCAACTCGAAGACTACCGTTCGGTATGACGGAGACGTACAAGATGCTCGTCAAGTAGATGGGAAAATCTGGTTTGCTGTTGATGGACAAGCAATCCTCACGCGAGAGCAACAGACGCGGGGTATCTCGAAACTCAGGCCGGTGAGCCCAGGATGCCCACTACGTTGAGCTCCCCTGTCTCATCTCCTTCCAGCAATGAAGCCCACACTCGCAATATAGAAGGTGTCAGGAGATACTTTGCCCTTGGACAAAGCTTCTTCGCTACGAGCGAAGAGCAGTAGGCTGCAGAGCACCGCCGTGTGGAACATGAGAAGGTAGCGCTGCAGCGCATCCATGCTACGGCAGTACTGCTGTACACGCTCCGCACCAACGGCCACTCGCACGCATCTCTTCCTTGATACGCAGGCGCCGGGTACGACCGCCCATACCATGGCATCAGCTCACGTCATTGTTGGCGGGCCACAACTTAGCAGCAGCTATGATGCCGATCCAGCAGGCGGAGGAACTGCATCTGGACTGTTATCTCCCGAATCCGCTCTGCTCATCAAAGCAGCGCAAGTCAGCCAAACCTTCGCTGCGGTGACGGCGCTGCCACCGGGCATCCATGTAATGTGTTACGTGCCGCCTTCAACTGACGACGCTGACGAGAAGCCGGCAGCTGGTGACGCTGGCGGGAAACCGGCAGCAACGGCCGGTGATTGGTCCGCCCTGTGGCGCGACATCCGGTTCAGTACCGGTGAGGCGGAAGAAGGCAAGCGATTGGCATGGCAAGCACCGTGCCTGAGCCTGCTGGGCGATGCGACAAGCTTCCTCGCATCCGCGGCGATCTCGTCCCTCACTGACAGCACACCGCGTGGGGGGTGGGCCCTTGTGCCGTGCGCATCATCCAGTAACTTGGTCTGCGAGTTGGCGAGCGGCGGGGCAAAAGGAGATGGCGGGAAGGTGGCGTGGTTGCATCTTGCGGAGGACGCGCAGGCTTCTGGTACCGGTGTCGCCGTGGCCGACAGTCTTCTTCTCACGTCGTGAGTTTTGGTTGAGATAGAGAGAAAGTTTCGCGCGCAGCCTACAGCAACCTTGTCGGACATTTAATATCATGTGCGTGTTTCCACGCCAGCAACCGTTTTCATCGTCCGCCGCAACGGCGAATCCTGCCGTCGTACGGGCCTCGTCATGCCATTATGCCGCATGTCGGCACATGGCAGTGCACCCGGCATGATTGCTACCCGTAGCCCATCCTCGTACGAAGTTACTGCCGTCTACCGGTTTGTGAACATCTCGACAAAAGTTACGACTACATCAGCTGTGATTCGTTCACAAGAGTGAACGCTCATCTGCGCAGCTGTGACGACAAAGTTCTTGTAGCATGTTCAACCTTGAAGTATCGAGCTTTCGCTTCGCCCTGCCCTCCGCCGCACGCCCGCCGATCAGCGATGGTAATCAAGAGTTGTCCTACGCGTCAGTCTCGGCACGCAGCCTAGGCGACGCCGAGGTGGAGGTAGTCTCGGAGGCCCATCGCGTCTTGCCCGGCGGCGTTCTCTCCGGCTACGACTTGAGCGTCGCGCCACCGAACAACGCACTCATAGGGAACGATAAGTCTTCAGACGGAGAACCTGATAGGGGAAGGCCGAAGAACGTGGACGAGGCTGCTGTGTTTGTGGACCACTCCACGGCCCCGGTCGACGTCGTCGGACAACGCTGGCGAGGGGATGTTGCGGTGGTGGGGCTCCCGGGAGGGGGGCTACACAGACATGTGCGATATTCCTTTTGCAGAGCATCCGCAATCGTGCTCTCTGCCCACCATAGCCACGATCGTTTGACGGCGATCATGAGAAAATATGCCGATACTGTAAAGGGCTGCAAAGAAAGGGCAGAGCTGATTGGGGGTGGAGGGGTATTTGGTGGCGCCGTACTCCATTGTTTTTTTACCCTGTTTCAGCACAGATAGGCACAACGCTGCTGTTGTGCGGAGATCATCAGATCATGTCTGCTGGTGGATTCCACAAGCAAGGCAGCCAGAGGGTAATTGCCACTTTTTATAGCGCGTTTGCCGGCAAGGTCTCCACTACACCCATCTTTCAAGCACCAAATCCAGGCTTTTACACCGTGTGCGTGTTTCCGTGTCTTGTGAACTGCCTCTTGAACAGGTGAGAGTCAAGTTTGACGCGAGGTGCACAGGGAACGCTTGCGAGGGTCTCTCGGAAAGAGGGGAATCGCAAGATAGCGACGCCTCGGAGTGGTGCGAGGTGTTGCTTGCGCAGCACGTCCCGCAAGGAGCTTATATCGACGTTGACGAGGTCAAGGTGAGAAAAAGAAAAGTGCGGGTTGTTGGTCTTGTCGGCCTTGTGTGTGCGAATTATCACGTTGCGTTTGCAGCTCGAAGCAGAATACGTGGCCAGGAGCATGACGTTGTCGTTGCAATTGAATCACGCACTCGCAGAACGATGTGTATCTAATGTCTCGTATCTAGCGTCCGCTTTTTTTACATACTGCTTGAAACGAAGGTTAACTATGTAACCGTCACCAGTGGCAGACGAAAGATGTGCGTGCTATTGCCGTCACTGCCCGTTGTTGATGATCGTTGGATTGGCCTCTTGATCCAGCCACTCACAAACACTCCACGCGCAAGACCAGGCACGTCGGTACTCAAACCGTCCAGGCACATGGCACCACCCGATCCTGACGGTGTAACCGACACCATGATGTTTATGCCAGGACTGCTGTGTCTCCTGCCTGTGTTTTTGCATTGCTGCCACGACAGGCACGCCACGATTTCGACGTTCTTTCTTCGCCCCCGGTAGGGCGGAGAGTAGGCGTGGAGACCTTTGAGGGCGGGCCGATCGATGTCGAGCTACCCTCGTCGGTCTCGGGCCAGCATCTCGTCAACTTCAACCTGTGGGTCGACATGTCCGAGAGAGATCGCGGTCGCGAAGGAGAGGCCAGAAGCATCCAAGCAGATTTGACACTGCCCGTGCACCTCAGGTACCCAGACCCGGGTTGCGAGCGACGCGGAGAGGAGTGCGAAGGGTACGCGTGGGTGGAGGTAAGCGCAAACACGCCACGTGACGTCTCTCGGCGATGCTCGACGTGTGTACACGTGCAGCTGCGTTGCGATCGTGCCCGTGGCTTTCAATCACCCTTGGATACACGATCCGTGCGCCTTCAACGTTGCCAAAGGCTCCATTGCCCCGTCTTTCAGCAAGGAACCACCCCCGTGTCCTCTCTTGTTCGGCCCAAATTTAGGTGCCTCCGCCACTAGCCAGCATCCGATGTGGAAGCGCTGGCAACATGGGGCAATTTTTTCCCGTGCTTCCGGCAAGACCGCCAGTCGGGGTTGCGCTTCGAGTGCCTCGAGGAATTGCTTGGCACAGAGATTTGGTCATGATGGGCACGACAGGGGCGGCGGCGCTGGGGTGTTTGTACACGATATACACTCTGTTGGTTGTGGTGCCAACAGGCAAGGCTCGAGGCTCCGATCGAAAAAGTCGCTAGAGTTTAGGCCTTGTTGAGAGTAAGCAAGGCGTCTGCGGGAGTTCATGATGGGAGTGGAGGAGATCAACATCCATCCTGGATTTGCTGAGCAGAGCATTCCGTGTGTGTAGACACATCGACAATTGGCGAAGCGTGCGTACCTTTTGAGCTATTAACATGTGGCCTAGCCAGAATCAACGGTACTCTCCACCTTAGTTGGGGTGACGTGCTTCTCAACAGAAAAATTGCGCGTTGTTTTACTGCTAACTAGCGCAGAACAGCCAACATCGCTTGCCCCGACACCCCAACGGCCATCAAGGGGCGAAGCGTGGGTGTGTTTTATCACAGCAGTGCGCACCAGCTCAATCAACCCCCCCCGGAGATAATGAGAGCGATACACGACTCTGGGACGTCGTGATCACACTGAACTCGTTGATACACATACATGATGTCACCTCCCGGATATCTTGCGAACGACTACAAAATCATTATGCTCTGTCTCTCCAAGCCCCCCCCGCTTGGTGATGTGAGAGCCTGGTCCGGTGAGAACCCGGCGTGCTCCGTCCCGGCTTTGTAAGGCGTGCGAGGTCAATGGTCTAACGACTACGGCATGCACGACTAGGAGTACACCCCCCCCCCCCCCCCCCCCCCCCCTTGGGGTTTTCCGCCAAAAAAAAACCCGCGGGGGCAGATTTCC